AATTTCTTCCCCGAAAGGGCTGTCGAGCGCTGGAATGGGCTGCCCAGGGAGATGGTCGAGTCCCCATCCCTGGGGGGATTTAAAAGCCGGGCAGATGAGGCGCTTAGGGACAGGGTTTAGTGGTGGGATGGCAGGGTTAGAGGAATGGTTGGACTTGATGATCTCAAAGGTCTTTTCCAACCTAGACGATTCTATGTGTCACCTGCTGCCCTCACAGCAAGCCCACGGCTGCTTTGGGGAGCATTGCTTGCATTGCTTGCACCACTGCAGGGCTCGGCCCCAGCCCCCTGCCTCTCCTCTGCATCCAGGCAGAGGGGAGGGAAGCTGGAAATACTGTTTTGAAAAGCCCTATAGATGACATTTCATCTTGCCTTTCGCCTGCTGCCTGCCCCTCTTTCTCCAGACCTGGGGGCTTTGGGCTGGAGAGAAGCCGGTGGTAATTCGGAGAGCCGCGCTCCCCTGCCTGCTGAAGCCAGAGGACGGGAAAGGTGCCACCGGCGCCCAGGGCTGCTCTCCATGAGTTATAGGTCTCTGGTAATAATAACCTGAGCGTGTGCTGAGCTGGCACATTCCTTCAAGGAGCTTTTCTGTGTGAAAGATGAAAATATGTCAAACAAATTTAAAATGCTTGGGGTTTTATTTGCCTTTCAGCCTGGGGAGAATTGGATGAAAAATGTAAGGAATGTCCAGGGCTCTTTCCTTCGTCAGGGCTGTGTTTAAACCCGGGCTGTGCACGATGCGTGCTCTGAGGCCGGCCCCATGCTGAACTGGCACAAAATTAATCTCAAGTTTCCCCTTTTTCTATTTTTTCCCCTCCAGCAGGGCTGTATTCTGCTCCCAGTTGCTCTGGGGGCTAGATGTGCCTGGAGCAGGGCTGGGGGCTGTGGCAAGTGCCCAGTTCTGGTGGGCAGCGCTGCGGCATGGCCAGCACCAAGCCCCGCTTGGTTCCTTTGCTCTCCAACCCATAAAAGGGGTGCAGGAACAGCAATTTTACACCCCAGCAGCTGCAGTCACATCTGGGGCTGGCCAAGAGGGCCATGCCCAGGCGAGGAGGCACCCTGTGAGCTGGTGGGCTCACCCAGCCGGCCACCCTCTCCCTGCCTTCCAGGAGGTTTCACCACTCCCTCACTGACAACAACCGCTGGATCCGGGAGCGGAGCCACGAGTCCTACGCCAAGAACTACTCCGTCGTCTTCCCCCATGATGAGCCGCTGGCGGGGCGCAACGCAAGGAAGGACCCCCTGCATGAGGTGAGGCCGCGCACCCCGAGCTGGGCTGCCTTCTGGGAGACCCCCACAGCACCCTTGCAGCAAAAAAGGGGTGGCAAGGAGTGGTCACGGCCGTATTGCTCCCCAGAGGAGCGTGCCACATCCTGAATCATAGAATCATAGAATCGTCTAGGTTGGAAAAGACCTTTAAGAACATCAAGTCCAACCGTTAACATAACCCATGCATCCACCCTGGGAAGATCCCTGCCAAATCCCAAAGCTCACCAGCTGCGTGCTGTGAGGGTGCTGGGGCCACGGACAGTTTAATGGTAGAGATGCCAAGCATTGCCCTAAGATTTAGCTTGGCAGATATGGCTTAGGAGCCCGGTGATGGTCACTGGACAAGGGACAAGAGGAGAGAAGGGCCTGGAGGCTTATTTCACCCACTGCCAGTCTGGCTCGGGGGCAGCTGCGGGGGCTGCGGGGTGCTGGATGCCCGCGGTGCTGGATCTCCTGCCCCCTGCTCGCCATGCCTCGCTTGCAGCTCAGCCGCAGCTTTTCCTCCCCAAAACAGCGTCTCACAAGGCAGAGCAAGCGAGACCGGGGCATGGGGAGCGATGCGGGAAGAGTGGGGAGCAGCTCTGCCTCCACAGAGGCGGTTTTCCCAGCACCCCCAAAGTCCCCACTGGTTTTGCTCCTTGTAGCTGCCAGCCAGGGCTCCTCCCCGCTCCTGCCTTCCCCAGCTTGCTTCCTTGCACAAATCCCCGTCGGTGAGCACTTTCCAGATGCAGCACTTAAGAAACACACACCCCACACCCCCCCCGCCCAGTTCCCAACTGCTCCCGAGATGCTCGGGGTGACCTGGGGCTGGTGCCTTGTCCCACCCCGCCACTGCCAGCCCCAGTCCCAACCCCAGCGAGGAGCAGCCACGTTTCTCGAGCCCGTTTCTGCTCATCACTGGTTCGTATCACGCTGTTCCCCTTCTGATGGGGAGCAGAGGCCCAAGCAGTAGAACAGACATCCCCCCGCACCGTCCCCCGGTGTTTGGTTGACAGCTCAGTTGTTTTCTGTCACCGAGGATGCAATTTATTTTTTAATAGCATGTCTAATAAGCGATGCCCATTTGACTGACAGCCTGGTATTTATACATGCAGCTCCAGAACATGTGCTGTGTTTTATAAATAGGCGCTGAATCATTTCTGAAATGTTCAACAAAATCTATTCTCTTCCGAACAGAGGCACCAAACACAATATCTTAATGGATCCCTAATTAATTGCGTGCAAAGAGATTTTCCTGAGAGCACAGAGGAGGAATAAGAAGGTTGCCATCGAAATCTTAAATGTTATTCTATAATTACTCTTGTAAACATCGGGGGGGATCTTGCTCTCTGGATGTAGCATCCCTCAGTCAGTAATTCATGCACCGTAGCGCTGGCGTTGGTGGGGCGTGCAGCCGGGCTGCCGGACTCCTGCCCGTCAGCTGCCGTTGAGGTGAATACCTTCCTGGGGGGGACACAAAAATATCAGGCAATTTGCAGGCAGCTGGGGTTTGCCACTGTGAAAACTGCAGAGCTGATTTTGGCTGCTGCTAACTAAAGCCAAGGGTTCACAAGTCAAGTCTTGAGCATGCACTCGAGGAGAGCAGCCTGGGCGCTGCTCAAAAAGCACTTTTTTAACCATTTGTTCCCATTTCTCTGGCTTCTCTTGGGTAGGAGCTGCTGCGACAGGGCTGCGTTTTCCAGGAGCGGCATGGCTGGGAGAGGCCCGGCTGGTTCAGCCCTGGGGGAGCAGCCCCGGTAAGCACGGCACGTGTTTTGGGGGGCGTTCAGCCTGGAGGGTACAGGCTGTGCCCAGCACATACAGGACATGTCCTGCGTCTGCAGGGTGTGCGATATGCTGCAAGCAAGGGGATGTCTCCAAAAGGGGTCCATAAAAGCTGTTGGGCTTTAATGCACTATACCAGTGGTAAAAGGGAGATCCACGTGTGCATGCTGTGTGTCTGTCTGCCTGTCCCTCTGCCACAGGCAGCATCTGCCTGCAATGCCCCCAAACGACAGGAGCTGATCTCACTTCTGGACATGGAAGAGAGCAGCAGGCAGGGATGCTGGGGTGGGGACCCATCACTGCGGGCAGGGATGCCGGGGTGGGGACCCATCACCGCGGGCCGGGAGGCCGGGGTGGGGCGCCTGCCTGTCCCTCTGCCACAGGCAGCATCTGCCTGCAATGCCCCCAAACGACAGGAGCTGATCTCACTTCTGGACATGGAAGAGAGCAGCAGGCAGGGATGCTGGGGTGGGGACCCATCACTGCGGGCAGGGATGCCAGGGTGGGGACCCATCACCATGGGCAAGGATGCTGGGGTGGGGACCCATCCCACAGGCAGGGATGCTGGGGGGGGCACCCGCACCCACACCCAGGT